ATAAAATATTTTATTGCATTGTATTGTATTGTATAGAATTAGCATATAAATGTGTAAGGTGTAAAAATAAGTTAAGAACTATAACAAATGCAGGGGCGGATCCAGNACTGACTTGAAAATGACAGAAGATCGGTCGAAAAGTCGTTTTTTATCCGTGATTTTTACACGTACATTAACAGTATTTATTTATTTAATCATAAAAGACGTTGTAGACCAGAACACTTATTTTTAAAAAGCTTTCGGAACTACTGCGCCTACTTGAAAGCTCTTCGGCCAGAAATTGTGGTTCAATTTTATTGTTTTTCTCTTTTTCAACATAGTTTTCCTTTTTTGGTTATGATAGTGTATAAAATAATGAGTCTGGAACATGAAACGCGGTATAAAAGTTAGTCTCGAAAAACCTAACGGAACTTTATTTTATTTTCTAGTGTTCGGGTGAAAACTTTATCCACTAAATTTTTTCCTCCCACGGCTTAACTGGAAAATATGTACGTCCGCAAACAGTGTTGTTGCAAAAATACTTTTTATTTAACCTAGCGCTCATGGGAAATTTTGTAATTATAATATTTCTTGATTGTTTTGATAACCCCCATTAAAATTCAAGTTTCCTAGCAGTAATACTTATTAGCATTGGCCGTGCATCTTGAGCTGTCTGTTCATAAAATAGGCATGCAGAGTTAATGTCAACCCCCGCCCCCCAAACAATTTCTTGTTGAAGATTCGTTGACTGCAGCGAAAGAAACAAGCATTTGTTTACAAAATCAGCACCGGCAATTTTGTAGTTTTAAATACAGCCGGGAGTCTTTACGTTAAGCATTGACTTTAAGAGAAATCTATTCAAATACTGCCTTTTTCTGTTAGTCTTTCCAAAAATATAACAACCAAACAGACTTCAGTGCAACGCAAATAAATATTGAACAGCATGTTTATGGTTGCTTCTTTGAAATTTCCACTGAAGTTCAGCGCGTTGAATAAATGTTACTTGTTTACAGCAATTTACCATGGTAACGAGCGGTACAGACCTTGGAACTCTTTGTTTTATGGTAAGCCCTGGTGAAATGTGGGAAATTATTATTTATTATTTATTGTCTGAGTGTTAGTCGCTGTACTCAGATCCATAATGACATTGCACCTGTCAATTCTGTGAAGGGTATTGACCAGAGTCAAGTTATATACGGCTGTGTATTTCAGTGTGCTGTCCGAGGATCCTGTATCCCTGGTTGAAGACTGTTTTAAGAAGAATGCAGTTAACCGGTTAGTATAAAAACTAGACATAAAAAACCTAAACTAATTGAAATGTCCATTGTGGAACGTAAACTGAGATGCGTTGTGCGCCGATGCTGTCTTTCTTAATTTCAACATTTTTCCTTTGCAGCCCTTTGCGGTTTTGCGCTCATTTTACTGTTCGATGGTGCTGTCGGCCAAGGTAGATTACCCTGTAACCGCGATCAGGTAAGCACAGCATCCGTGTCTTCGTCCGTGATGCAAACTCGTCTTGCTAGGCTCCATCATAAGTTCTCGTTACCACGAAATGGCGTAGAAAAGTCATTTTCTTGTAGTCAATTAAGGTTCTTTTGTCCTATGGCAAAAGGCAATATTATTGTTGCAACAGCGTCTCAAAAGTGTTCTAATCACTACATTTTGGGTGTACGTGTTTTAAGGGCAATTTCTATGACTGACTTATCGATTTTCTTCTCTGTAGTCTTTTACGAGTGAAGTGCTTTACCGTTTAACGGTTTAAGGCCGGTTCTTTAATGCGAGTGACGCCAATGTTTAACAATACCGTTTTCTAAGTCATTTTCAGTTTACCCAACGCTTTTATCTAAACACCGATTATCGTGAACAGTTTCATGCAAGCAACAAGGCAGACCGGAGAAACACTTGTCTTCTTAAAATAACTCACTTAGAAAGAGATCTGAAGGTCTAGTGATTTCTTAGACCGCGGCCTAAGTTAGACTTTGTTAGACGTAACCGGTGCAATTGAAATGTTATTTTCTTGGTGTCTTCCAAAGTGAAGCTTTTATTGTCAAATGCCCCGTGGTATCTTCAACGCAGAAGTTCTCCTTCGCCCCATTGTCTATGATAGCACCTCCTGTGTGGCATATAAATATATTTACACAACCATCCTTAAGATTGTCCAAACTCCGGCGATCTTTTATTTTTCTCATCAAACCTCGAGTGAAAACTATAAGTGCGAGGAAAGGTAAGCTCTGTGGCAATTTTAGTCTGCAGTCGGATAAAAACCTGATAAAAAGAAAACAGAAATTGATGTCATCAAAAACTTATTCTTGCATCTTTTTTCCTGGCTTCGATACCTGCTGCGAAGGTGCAATTAGTCAGGTCGATGACGCAATGTTGTCTGTAATAGCCAAGTTGAAGAATTCCGACCTTGAAAACTCTACAGCAAATTTGTAATCGCTACGCAAATTTATAGCCTTGTGTAGCATAGCACCGAGATGTTTGCAGTAAGAAATTACTTGATTCACTGTAAAATTTCAAGACCGTGAGCTTGTGGTAAACTTACGACTTTCTTCGACTTAGCCTTGCCTTGCCTCCCCCTTGAATGTTGTTGTTCTCAAGTTAATTCTTTTAGAATCTTAAGTTTATTTTTCAGATTCCTTTGTCTCGTAGTAGAAATATTGCCGTTTGAGCCCAGTAATATATTTTATCCCTGAAAAATAAATTAAAATAATAACTTATTTTTCGCTTTTGGCAATATATATTCTGTACTAGACTTCATTTTTATTTTTTGTTTGTTTATGTTTGGGGTTCACTGTTGAAGTGCCTATTCCGAATTCGAGTTTAGNAACTCACTTAGAAAGAGATCTGAAGGTCTAGTGATTTCTTAGACCGCGGCCTAAGTTAGACTTTGTTAGACGTAACCGGTGCAATTGAAATGTTATTTTCTTGGTGTCTTCCAAAGTGAAGCTTTTATTGTCAAATGCCCCGTGGTATCTTCAACGCAGAAGTTCTCCTTCGCCCCATTGTCTATGATAGCACCTCCTGTGTGGCATATAAATATATTTACACAACCATCCTTAAGATTGTCCAAACTCCGGCGATCTTTTATTTTTCTCATCAAACCTCGAGTGAAAACTATAAGTGCGAGGAAAGGTAAGCTCTGTGGCAATTTTAGTCTGCAGTCGGATAAAAACCTGATAAAAAGAAAACAGAAATTGATGTCATCAAAAACTTATTCTTGCATCTTTTTTCCTGGCTTCGATACCTGCTGCGAAGGTGCAATTAGTCAGGTCGATGACGCAATGTTGTCTGTAATAGCCAAGTTGAAGAATTCCGACCTTGAAAACTCTACAGCAAATTTGTAATCGCTACGCAAATTTATAGCCTTGTGTAGCATAGCACCGAGATGTTTGCAGTAAGAAATTACTTGATTCACTGTAAAATTTCAAGACCGTGAGCTTGTGGTAAACTTACGACTTTCTTCGACTTAGCCTTGCCTTGCCTCCCCCTTGAATGTTGTTGTTCTCAAGTTAATTCTTTTAGAATCTTAAGTTTATTTTTCAGATTCCTTTGTCTCGTAGTAGAAATATTGCCGTTTGAGCCCAGTAATATATTTTATCCCTGAAAAATAAATTAAAATAATAACTTATTTTTCGCTTTTGGCAATATATATTCTGTACTAGACTTCATTTTTATTTTTTGTTTGTTTATGTTTGGGGTTCACTGTTGAAGTGCCTATTCCGAATTCGAGTTTAGCAGGTGTTTTCAATTTTGGCCGCAAATTTCTATGATCCTGGCAGTGCTGTTAATTGCGAAACTAAAAGAAAAGAAAAGTTTAATTTATCGACACTCTTCAACCTATAATGCAACGTCTACAAACAATACCGGCGATATATTTTGTTTCAATTTGGGAAAACACATCCAACTTTTTTGCAGTAATGGAAGATGCTTATTATGTGGCATTTTACTGGATTACAAACTGCGTTTTATTGCAAGTTAAGGCAATTTCTAAAACAGGAAGACGTCTAAAATTCTGTTAAGCAGATGCTACAATAGGGGGACACGTCATTGCATTTAATTTATTTACCCACGCTTCGCAGTAGAGAAAGTGCCAGCTGTCAGTTTCTTTTTTAAGACTTGTGAAACGCTGAATTTTTCAATTTGATGATTCATTTTTGAGTTGTGAGAATTAAAAGCTTAAACTAAGAGCTTTTTAAAGAAGTATACCATTGCTATTTTTTATATATATATTTTTAATAATACCATTGCTATGGTTACCTGCCTGCTTGCAACTTGTTCAAACGATAGAAATTGATAGAGCTAAGCACAGGGGTGCTTTAAAAAAGGTATGGTTGTCATTTTCACAGCTCAAAGTTTGATATTTTTCCCACATGCCACTAGTTGAGTTACGTAAACGTTTTGAAAGTTTTTTGGTGTTTTAAACGGAACCTGCAGTCTTCATGGCCTACGTGATGTCTGTTGTAAGGAGCATGAATCCCATTAGCTTGAATTTCCTAACATAGCTTAGATCCCTCTAAAAGTTCAAGAAACACTTTTACTGCTCAGGACTTTTTAATTCCTTTTTTCTCGGACAACGTTTTTTCTTAGAATGGTCCGCCACAGGCGGTCAAGTAAGTGCGAGAAAATCACATTGTGTAAGACGCTTTCTCACTATTTCACTTAGACATGACCAGAAAATGTCTTTTATATCTTAGGTCTACTGCCTGGCTGAGCAGAGATGTGTTCCACGCTTTGAGTTTCGTTGTAGAGATCAAAGCTGTGGTCAAAACGAAACGCTCTGTGGTCCACCGCATGAATTAAATTGCATTGTTGGAAACACGTGTCCTGAAAGAAACGAAAGCAACCCTTTCGGCGGGGGAGGCAACCCTTTGGGTGGGGGAGGCAACCCTTTCGGCGGAGGAGCCAACATAGGTGGTGGCAGTAACTCTTTTGGCCCAGCCAACCGCGATGACGATGATGATGACGGTGGCAACCCCTTCGCCCCTCCTAGTCGCCGATCTCGGGACAGAGAGCAGACTATGGATCAGGGCATTGGCTTTGGACATGATCAAAATGCTACCAGATTATTGAGGAGGAAAATGCAAGGTAGATTGTTTAATCGATCGATCATCGAGGAGGTTATTGAATCTGAAAATTACGAAAACGATTCGTTGGGTGGCCAGAGTCCGAAAGAGTGCGGTAGATTTTATTCTCCTGGTATCAAGGACGCCATAAGGATGCTGATACGTCTGATGGATCTAGATGACCACTGTTGCGAAATGAAGGAGAATCCTCAACGTTTCGCGCGGAAACTTCGGAATATCACCCGACAGTTTCAATGCCCCAAGCGAACCAAATTCTGCCCTTTCCGCTTTCTTGTTAAGGGTAACGGATGCATACCCATGGGAAAAAATTGCTCCGCGGCACACGGAAATCACTTTGACGAACCCTGGTCTCCTTGCCGAAAAATGCCCAAAAAAGGATTTAAGTACTGCAAACTTTTCAGTGCTGAGATTCCTAAGGAGATGCCGTGTTCTCATCGTCCTGTAATGAAGTGGATGGCAATGAACAACACTCGCGTTTCCCCCACAGGAAAGAAGTGTCGTAACGGCACAAGATTCTACCTTNGATGCCGTGTTCTCATCGTCCTGTAATGAAGTGGATGGCAATGAACAACACTCGCGTTTCCCCCACAGGAAAGAAGTGTCGTAACGGCACAAGATTCTACCTTTCCACGTTTGATTGCAGACCTAAGGCACAGGGTAGTGGATTTGAAGATCTAACTCGTCGAGCATCCAAGTTTCTCTGCGAACCCTCTAAACGTCTTTGTGTCGGATGCGGAGTTAGTTGCCGCTCGAAAGAGAGAGAGTGCCCTCGGAGAGCCAACATGAGCATGGCACTTCGTGAAGCTGCGCTTAATCTTGAGCCAAGTAAGTTGCCTTCTTTTTTAATCCCTTTAAGCCCCAATATCCAAATGCAAATTCTCCAGACTGATTTCCATACCTTTCCTTAAAGAATTGGTTGAGAGAATATGTTTGCTGATCAAAGCTTTTCCCATCAGATGATCATTTCATAAATTCTGACAACATCTTCTCTAGTTTATATACTGATATTGTTAGGAGAAAATAGACTTTGGTCACTCTTGGGACTTAGAGGGTTAAATTGGCTATGTCCCCAGGATATTGCTGTTCTCGGACAATTTTGTACTGAAGTCATTACTTAGTGCCTTAACCCGTACACAGAATGCTCCTGTAGGAAACGAATTTCATAAGCGAGCACTCTACATAAAAAACTTTTTTGGTGGTCTTTGCAGGCATAGCTTTAAAACTTGAAAACGTTGGCCCAACTTTGTCAAGTATCATCTACTTTTATCCTGGCCATCCTTTGCAACAGACGAAAGGAAACAGTTTCAGTGCCTAAATATAGTCTGAATAACAAAACAGGGCCATTATTTGAGGAATTCAATTGATGCGAAAAAGGTTTTTTCCTTAAAAAGAGTGACATAGCTTCTTTCAGTTAAGCACGTTTGTATTACCCTGCTGTATTACGAGTCGTTTTTTCCCATGTTGCCACCATTATAGTAAATTCACTTTGTACTTTTGTCCACAGGAATGATCAGAGATGATGCTCTTCGTAACCTTACCAAAGCAGGTAAAGTAATGATCTCAGTGTCACTAGGGTTTTACAGCAATGGTTTCATGCGCAAAGAAGTTTAAATAGAAACAAGATGGAATGATGGAGCAGGGAGGGAAATGCTCAGTCTAGCCCTTGAGATAGTGTATTCATTCGATTAACCGCCCTGGGCGCTTTTTACATTATTGGACCTTGAGAGTGGTCGCTTATTCGAGGCTGGGCGCTTATTAAATTTTCACCATTTTCAGCAGGTGTAGTATGTTTATTTCGCAACAAAACAATAGCAATAACAAAACACGAAGATGTAACAAAGAAAGGTTTCTGTAAAATACTCCGAAGAAAACTCCGTCTTCGGGGAAGCACTTATTCAATTTCAATGAGTGGGAGGGGGAAGGGGTGGGGTGGGGCGGGCGCTAATTAACTTTTTCCAACTTTAGGATGGGTGCTTATTCGAGGTGGGCACCAATTCGAGGTTGGGCGCTTATTCGAATAAATACGGTATGTGAATTTGTTATCCAAAGTTACTTTCAGACCAATTTAAACGCCTAATAGGAAGTTGGTTTCCAGAGAGGTCCTCAGACGTTTATTCAGTGTTGGCAAGAGAGAATTCAACAGTTGCCATCAAAATATTCTGCATTGTCTGCTTTAATTTGTTTGCCCCTGGACTTGGTGACATTTCAAATAATCGATAAAAATGTGCGGACGTCTCAAGAATGAGACTTCCGTTTAATAAAAACCTCTTAAAATAAGATTCACGTACTTCAGCCAACGCCCTAAGATTTCCTCTCTGTCTTCCTTACTTTCCTATTCTTCTGCCATATTTGCGGCAATGCAGCGCATCTATAACTTCAGTTAGTCAGTTTGAGTGTTGGAATAGGTAGCTGTATAATACCAGTTCAAAGAGACCTTTTCGAAATAATTTGCATGGGGCTATTTGCTTTCTCGTAAATTTTTACATTGATCGCTATCAGGACTGAATGCGTTGATCTTCCTGGCAGTCAACAGCCTGTTCACAGACCCTCACTTATCACTCTTTAGAGATCGTCAAGCGTGCGTATGAGAACCGTGGTGGATTTATTGATCGCAAGCGCAAGCGAATGGGTGTGAGGAAATGAAAAAAAAAAAAAAAAGAAAAAAAACGACGGTTTGGAAAACGTCACTTAACAAGTGAATTCGCGCTACCTCAAACGTTATCTCGCTTGTTCCATTTAGTTGAATTCTTCCATTCGTCATTTGGCAAATGTTGACAGATTTTTCTGGAGTTGAGTTCTAAAAGGCTGTATCGAAGTTCAGGAAAAGAAAAAGAAAGGCGTTTTCTTGTGTTGTGTAGACGGTAATGAAAAAATACAAGAAAGTGTGCTGCACGTGCAAAGTTGTTGTTTCGTTAATCTAATGCTACTGCTTCTTTGACTTTCGTTGACGTCGCCGTCGTTGTTGCTTAAACTTCCTTTTGTGATCCATAGGTTGGGCTCCGTTTTGCCTTCTCAGCAAAAAACTTCTCGCGCGCACTTTTGATGGGCTTTTAAAGTGCTTTTCTCGTGATGCACACTGTCGCCAAACCGGCTTCAAGAAACACCTCAACTGTATGGCAGGCGAGGACTACTGTCAGAAACTCCACTCGTTTGCTCGTCGCTTCTCCGCAAAGACTCATGACGATTGCCGTCTCCTGAGGACTAATCCAGCCAAGTTTGAAGAGAAAATAAAAGGAAATTGGAGTGAGAAACCCTGGGGAGGAAAATGCCATCGTGGGCATGTTTTTTGCCCGATTACGATGCGTTGTATACGTAATGATAGCATTTCCAACTGCAACGCGAATGAAAACTTTTGTCAAAAGGATGATGAGAGTATCCCTTGGAAGACGAATCATTCCCTGGAGGCAGGGGACAAATTCTGCCACCGTTTCCTGAGGTATGCAAGAGTTCTTTAGGCATGCCTACTTTTAAATTGTCGATGTGAATAATATACCGTATATTCTCGATTAAACGGCGCCCTCGAATAAAAGCCGCATATAATAGGAAAATTATCAATAAACGCGGCACCCAATCAGAACAGTGCGGCGTTCATTTGAGGATTATACGAAAAGCTTCTGTACATCGTCGTAATCTACATAATCAAGACAATTACGATTCTATCTCAGCAAAAAAAAACAAAACAAAACAAAACAAAACAAAAAAAAGCCAGTCATTGGAACTCTTATAAACATCTTTCTGTTTACATAATACATGTCATTTATTGTGGCAATTTAATGTGATTATGTGATTTTCAAATAAACGCCGCCGGTCATTTGCGGTCGCGCGTCGATAGTGGGGATCTTTTGCGGTCGACGATCATCTCTGGTCCATTCTGGGGATCAATTGCGGTCTGGGGATCATTTGCGCTACTGTATAGACCTTCCTGGCTCCAGTAGCAGTGACCTTGGCTCGTTATGTCAGTGAATTCACCCACTGTTTTCATTTGTACCACCACCTTAGAAAAGGGGTACTAATGTTACATCATTGTACTCTAACTTAATTCTCTACTAGCCTGACACGTCTCTATTAACACGGACATTTGAGCATCCATCTAAGAGAGATTTGACTATTGTCTTAAATTTAAAAAAAAGCAACATGAAATAAAAATACAAATCACGACAAAAATACCTTAAAGAGACTTGAAGGAAAACCTTAACAGGCTAAGAGTGCTCATTTCTTTAGAAATGCCCTAGTAACTGAATTTATGACAGTGTGAGTTAATTCAATGATATCAGTTT